TTGTTTTTTCCCAAGTTACGCGACGATCACTTGAACTAGGTCGTTAGGCTTTCTGTTATGTGCACCCTTCGTGGTTTACACGAATTTTTTGTTTGGTTGCCCAGAAAATTTGATAACCCTTGTTTTTTTTTCATCATCTCAGTCACTTTCATTTATACTGAAATTGAAGTTTTGAGTTATAAATTGATTGTAATTAAGTTAATGGTTTTTATTTTGATTTTGTTTACTGCATTGTTTTCATCTTGTTGATTTTCGGTTTGAATTTTCTGGCACATGAAAAAAAAGTTGAATTGAAGAAGCAGAGTTCTTGTTCCATGCAATTGACCAACAAGACGGATGATTATGTAGCCTTCAAGGTACTCCTTTAAGCTGTAATCGTTGTTTATTATACTAATTTGGTCTTGTTTTAAAACTTATCTTTCTGTGTAATTCATTGAACAATATAACTGAATAGGTTAAAACGACCAATCCCAAAAAATATTGTGTTCGGCCCAATACTGGTGTTATTTTGCCCAGGAGCACCTGCAATGTTACAGGTCAGTGTATGCAGTAACTTCTTCACTTTGGTGTAGAAGTCATCCTTTATGGGGATTTTTGAAATCTGAAATCTGAACATTCTCAATGGTTTTAACATGATTTACCTTTTTAGCTGGTAATATGTATAGTTAATTGTATAGGTAAGATATTTCTATTGTGACAATTGTTGTTTCACTTTCTTTAAGTTTACACATTTCATTTTGATGGATCAATCAAATTCTTTTAGTTGTTAATTTCCACTAACTATTGTACTCTGGCATTTCTATGTACAATAAGCCCTTACTACTGTTAAATTCCAATATTTTCTACTTTAATCATAATTTATTTACGTGTTTTATGTTGGAATTGCTTATTGATGGATTCAACAAATTTTAACCAATTGCTTTGTTTAATGATTTTTCCCATCTGGCAGTTACAATGCAAGCTCAAAAAGAGACACCCCCTGATTTGCAATGCAAGGACAAGTTCCTCCTACAAAGTGTTGTTGCACCCGATAGTACCACTTCAAAAGATATAGTGGCAGAAATGGTGTGCTTTGCTGCTGTTATTGTTTTTTATTTAAATTTGATTTTGTATTTAATCTTTCCTGGACTCAGACGTGGTCGGGATTGGATTGCAGTTTAACAAGGAGGAGGGTAAAATTGTTGAGGAGTTTAAATTGCGGGTGGTTTACATTCCCGCTAATCCACCATCCCCTGTCCCTGAAGGATCTGAAGAAGGATCTTCTCCTAGGGCATCTTCACTAGAAAATGGAAATCAAAATGCTACATTATTTGAAGATGTAAGTGTTTCATGATGTTTCTGTTTGAAATTTTGTTTACTTTTTCTCTCTGAAAGTTCAGAATACCAGTGATGGAATAGTTGATTTGTCTCATATACCATTTTGTATGTTTGATTTTTATGTTAAAAACATCAGGTATCAAGATCTTTGGAGGCAACTAAAGAGAAGTCCTCTGAGGTAATTAGTCTCTTTGACCCTGTTTTAACTTTAGCAATAGAAGTTCTCTTTTTGATGGCTGTCAAATGTTGTTAATGTCCAAGACCACATAACCTTCTTGAAATGTAATATTTAATGGAAGGAGAATGAGTTAGATATTAGAATTATCTGATACAATTGGTTTTCAGCTTGACCCTAGCCTTTTTTGAAGTGTGCAACAAACAAATAATGGTTTTATTTATTAATTCCTTGTGGAAGTTTAATTTTTTTTTATATGAAGTTGCCAATCTTTATTTTGTACTTTCTTCTTGTGTATTATCCTTGATTATTTTTATTTTCCCCTTGATTGTCAATTCTATCATGCACATTTCTTCTGCAGGCTTGGTCTATGATTTCTAAGTTGACAGAGGAAAAAACTTCTGCCATGCAACAAAATCAAAAGCTACAGCAAGAGCTGGTTGGTTTAATTATCTTTACGTCAACCATGTTTCTATACTATTGTGCCTCATTTTCTAATATTTAATCTTCTTCATGCTTTGATACCAATAATATTTCTTGTAGCAGCTTGCCATGGCTTATGTGTTTTCTCCTCTATATCATTTCAATTGATTTAAATTTCTGTTTTTAATTAGGTGATGTAAATAGCCATATCATTTTGTGGTACTAAAGTTATTTTGTCGGCTAATGCATTTCCATTAACCATTGCCTGACTGCTCTAGTATGTTGGGACAATAACATTCAAGACATTATTTAACAGTCTCTAGTTTGCCCATTGTCTCTGATTAACTTGAGGAGGAATTGGACCGGAATCATGAATGATCGTATCCGTATTGTTCTTTAGAATTGAATGCCCTAGACTGAGTCTTTGGAAGTGCTGAAGTGCAGTCCACGTAGTCTAGGATTTTCTTTTACAGTGTTGATTTATTTTGTGTTTTCGTTGCTAAGCTCAGGAGTTACCATTTTGTTATTATCAAGTGATTGAATTTAGAGGGGATGCTGCCACCAAAGAACCAGAAATTTGACTTCTAGGAATGAATTTGTATTTTGATTTTTTTATTTTCTGTTGCCATTTTCTCTCTTATAATTTTACTGGTGTGAAATGGTGTCCTTCAGGCCAAATTAACATGCCCATTGCACATTCTTGATTTGTGGTGAATGAGATTTTAATCTGGGGCATGTAAAATGCTGAATGCAAAAGTTTATGCATCCTTAAATTGAGAAAAATAATACTTTTGCCCATGTGTGTTAATGGAAAATAAAAATTTAATCCTAAGTTGAGGCCCTTTTTATTCTTTATGTTCATTTATTTTTGTGATTGTTGCTGCATTGCATGTTTGCATTGTTATTTTACTTTGTGTGCTTAATCCATAATTTGTTTCTCCAGTGCTCATAGCTGAGTAAATTCAATAATTATAGTTTAACTTGTTTCATTCATGCGTCTACATTTTGCTGTCATTTACCATGGTAATCAAACAGGAATTGATGAGAAAGGAAATTAGCAAAAGTCATGCTGGTGGTGTTTCTTTAGTTTTTGTTGTACTGGTTGGTCTCCTTGGTGTTTTGATCGGCTATCTACTCCAGAGAAGTTAGAAGCTGCAATTCAAACAAGCATATTCAATGGTGAATGTGCATATCAATGTTATGGGTATCCGAAAGTTTTCAACACCGTTTTCTTTTTAGTGTGTATAAGCTGTAGACTATGTTTTGTATTTTATTCAGTTTCAATTATTGAGTTGTTTTGAGTTTGAAGAAGGCCTCATTTTGAAAGGCAGTGTGTGTTTAGATAGGTTCAGGTTCAGGTAAACCCAAAAACTGTATTGAATGGATTGGCCTAACTTGGACTGCTGGAATGGATTTAAATTTATTCTGATTCTTTTTGTGATTCTTCAATGCATAGTCGCTGGGGTTGATATTGCCCAGCTCTATGCTGGATAAAGAGCAGAAAAGACAAATGCAAACTTATAAAAACGACAGGGATTCGAGAAACAGCCTCTTGAGAGAGACTACTTAAACGTTAATGCTCCTAGTAGAGACTAGCCTTGCAGGTCAGACGGCAGAACAAAAAGTTTCCGCTTTTGTTATATTTGTAATTACGACTTACAAATGGGTTTGACTAAGTGAGAGGCCATGTTCATCCTTTGAAATTATTGCCGATCTAGAGGATGTTTTCTTACTAAACTTGGTCTACCACTGATTAGAACTTATTCTACTACCTGTTGAATTTCCGTAATATGTAAAATTAAACATTTCAACCAGATTAAAACTGCAATCTGGCTTAATTTCTTGGGCCAACGCTCAAACTATCAACTATAAGAAATGCGCGATGCATCAGAGCGTTTATTCATTATAATAGGGGGAATACGCAAGGCTAAACACTGCAAGTTATTATACTAAATCATAAAATATGTACGCTTAACTATGAACTGATAGGCACTGTTGCTGTTGTGGCTTCCATTTCTGGATTTGGAATAGGCTTTTCTTCTTGTAGTTGGCGAGGACGAGGCGACCGTGTGTGAGTCATAGGCACTCTCGCTGCTGTGGCTTCGATTTCTGGACTTAGATTGGGCTTGTTTTGTTGTGCGTGGCGAGGACAAGGCCACCGGGCGCGGGTATCGTGATGCTGGCGACGTATTACTCCTTGAGTAAGGAAGGAGCCAAACATGGCTCCTAACATAAACGTGACACCGGTCTTCACAGGGCTCATGTTTACGATACAATACGATGGGGAAAACTGGTGAAAAGCAGGTTACGGAATTAAATTTTGATTTGGTTGATTGCCGGGTGACGCGGGATTCTATTTATAATTTTCAAGTGTCGTGGTGCCGAAGCCTTCAAACCAGGTGGGCTTATACCCATTGGATATTTAAACCAGGTGTCCAAGCCTTTATGGCTAGTTGGATATTTGTTTTCCGGAGAACTTAGGTCATTGATGACCTGGGCTCTTCATTTGTCTATTGGATAACTTTCCGGACACTTCCAATTACTTCATTTCATGATATTTCCCTGACCCTTTGAATTCATAAAGAGTTAATTTCAATTTCTTCTAGTTTACTTGGTTAACAAGTATGCTCAATCTCTTCAAGAAATGGGGCATCTGGCTCGCCAGTTGCAGAGTGGAAAATGTTTACTAGCAACGTCAATATGATTCTGGCACCTGCGCTTGTTCATCCCGATGTCCATGTTCGAGATTTTAAAACCTTGCAATTTCGTATTTTATGTTCCTCGGAATAGGTCCCAATCAGTATCAGTGTTGAAGAAACAACACAAACAAGTGAAAAGCGATTAAACCAGGGGCCCTCGAATTCTGGTGAAGTCTTTGTCACGGTTGAATAAAAAGCAAGGATTGGATAATAATAAATCAAAGGATAATTTTAAGTAATCCATAAGATGTAAGGCTATTGTCAGCCACAATTTTATTCTCAGGCTACATACACCTAGTTTTATCATTTCAAGAGTGATACAGTTCACATATTTGGTCAGTATCCAGTAGCCTATTGAAGATTTTATTCTCTATAAATACCCAGTGACTAGTTATGGTTTCTTAAATAAATTTTTAAAGATAAGCTTTATGGGTTCTCAGGCAGTAGCTCTTTTCATTTTGCTTAATATCACATTGTTTATTTGTGTTTCATCAAATAAGGTTCCATGCCCTCCCAAAATTTCCCCATCACCTCCTTCAGTCCCAATGAAGCCAGAGAAATGTCCTAAAGATAAGTTGAAGTTTGGTGTTTGTGGGAGCTGGTTAGGGTTGGTTTATGAGGTTGTTGGGACTAAACCCAGCAAGCAATGTTGTAATTTGATTGAAGGACTTGCTGATCTTGAAGCTGCATTGTGTTTATGTACCGCCATTAAAGCCAATGCTTTGGGAGCTATCAAGCTTGAAGTACCAATTGCCCTCAGTTTGGTGCTTAATTCGTGTGATAAAAAGGTTCCTCGAGGCTTCCAATGCTAGTAGAGTCTCTCGCTCTCTCACATTCGGTTCCTCGTCGGCCTCTCCCAGACCCAATTGATTTCCTTTTTTTTTTCGGGGATAAATTGAAGCAATATTGTAGAGAATAAGTTATTAATAATGAAATGAATGATGTTTTTAGTCCTGTACTTAGCTTAATCTGATTCATCATACCCAGGCTGTCCATGTTTACTCATGTTTATTAGAAACTTAAATGGAGAAGGACCAACAGTAATAAAACATTAATTAAAAAGTTCTATTAAAACATGGAAAATTTGAAAGCAACATTTATTAATGATACTCTTTCATGGTCTTACATAGTCAACGTGCCATGAATACTCAGGTCTTAAGAGTAAAATGATAACGTAAAGAACGAAAGCATGAAAGGTTTTTTTGGTTCATGCACACTGAATATTGACGGTGCCATTGATGTTGCATCTACTAAGCAATATGTCCGATGTGGCGCTACCTATGTTGATACCAAATCGCCCAATAGAGTTAATGACAGGGCAAACACAGGCCTTAGCGTCACTTTGAGAAAAGCTTGAAAGTGTTCCACAACATGGTTTGATGCTAAATATAATTGGAAAGTACCAAAAACGAATGCAAGACGCTATTCTTATAGGATTTATGGAGCAGCTGTCACCAGCTGGTGGTGCAGGTGCAGTAGAGTTTGGTGGTGAATTATTGGCCGGAGCTGGATTAGAACTTGGCTGTGGATTGTTGGCCGGTGCTGGGTTAGGTGTTGGCTCTGGATCAGTGGCTGGTGCTGGATCAGAAGTTGGCTCTGGATCAGTTGCTGGTGTTGGTTCAGAAGTTGGCTGTTGATTAGTGGCTAGTGCTGAATCAGAAGTTGGCTCTGGATCAGGAGCTTCACATGTGATCCTATTGCTTACTAATAAAACGAAGAGGATGTTGAAGCAGAGGAAGAGTGTAGCAGAAGAAGATGCCTTAGAGCTAATATTTCTGAAATATTATCTGTCAGTATATTAGACCCATGATCATTTTCAATCACCAGGGAGATGACACGGTAGGCCTAAGTCCTAACAACTACGGTTTAAGGAAAATTCTTGGACAATGAGCCCTCAGCGACGCACTTTTGTATTAAGAGCTGGTAACTGGGGAGTCTTAAATTTTATAGATAGTTTCAAATCTTGTAACCTTTTGCACATAAGTTTGTGAGAAGATTAGTTTTTACTAGTCTGTGTCGTTTCTTCCTGTAGCTTCAGACTGTTGGGCTTATTTGGTATTCACTCTTGGCTTTGTATCATATGATGCAAAGCACGGGGTTAAGATGATTAGGCTCTTGCCCTATTTATCAATTACTTCTTATTTGAGTTAGATGTCACGGATCTATCAGATTTGTTTCTCATTGAAGATTAATATTTTACCCAACTGAATTACTAACAAGTGCACCTTGCAAATTACATCATTATAGACAAAGTGTCCGTTTTCTCGCACTGGTGTATTGTCCAGGTAAACATATAATCTAACCTATGATTTATGTCTCCCTTATGTGCTTGAATAGCATTAACAATATTTTAATTAAGATGGTGTCAAATATATATATATATATATAACAGCCTATCACAAGGTCATTTATCATATATTCTAAGCCTAATTTGAAAGCCAGTATATTTTTCACTCAAATTTCTGCACCTCGAAGTTTTGAAACATGTACTCTCATTCCTGTTCACAAGCTTACAGATTTTTTAAATAATTGAAAATAAAAATAAAAGATTAATAATACCATGTGTATTTGGCAGTCACTGAGGCTTCAAAAGAATCATCACTCTGTGATGCCCAATTCGAGTCTCACTGATGCGGCCAAGGTGGCGAAGGACCTGCAAAACATACATAAAGATTATCAGTAATATTTTCATGCTTATTATTCATTAAAAAGGCGGCATTAGTTAACAAGACATTAACAATGGTTCTTGCAATACTAGAAATTTTCAAAGAAAACATGTCAGTTGAACCGCTGAATTTTTGCAAAGAAAACATTAACATAATCTGGAATTGTTTTTGCATTTATTCAACATTTAGAAAGCTATATGTATTTGCAGATTACAGTTGACGTAGCATAAGCCCATGGCAAAATAAATGAAAGCACTCACAGTCAGTATTGCTTTTCCAGTGTTGTCCAGCTTCAATGCTGGTCCTTTCATGTCAGTTTCAAGGAAGAAGTGTTTCCCCTTAACTGGTTCCGTTGTTGCAATATCTCTCAACTCCTGCATGTGGCAAAATCAATTGCATAAATTAATAGTTACGTATTCAGCAGCTTGAAGAGGTAATTGGCACCAACAAGTTTTATGCCAGTTTGTTTAAGATAAAAACAATGGGTCGCACAGTTAAGTTCACCTACCAGGGCTCTTTCCCAGAGGTTCTCCGCCAGCTTCATGGAGAAAGGTAAAATAGTAAGTACAAGTGTAAGGTTGAAGAATAATAATTAAAATAAAATGTCTGATCATAACCTTCTTCTTTGGGGCTGAAATAAGTTGGGCATTTCCTTCTGCATATGTTGCCATGTCATTGATTGCTGCATTAACTTTCTCAAGTGTGAGCCTTCCTCTCATATATCTGAAATTTGCCAGAGTTAATATACTATTATATATTGTAGAATGAAAGTGTCCGAAACTGCATCTAATCATTCCTCCATCAAAAAGAACGGAAAAAAGAACAAGGGAAAGAAACAGAATTAAATTGCATTGCATGTTACATTTTGCTACATTTATAGAGCTGACTCCATATCAGGGTTTGGTATCTGATTTGAATCTCTAGTATGGAGCATGACTTAAAGCTTAGAAAATAAGTAACAAGTGATAAATTACTAGCATGTATCTCCAGGTGAAGTTAAAAATGTTATCATCAATGCTGTTTCCCATTTAAAAAAAAAAAATTCTCCTACATAAACAATCTGAAATTGCACATTAACAAATTCTCGATAAAGAAAATCTTAGAAACACAGATATGATGCAGTAGTCCTTTATCTAGTAATTGATGTCACATTGGAGAATTCAACAACAATTGAAACTTTCGCCCTCATCACATGTCATAGACTACTAGTAACTGCATGAAGGTTAACCAATATAATGGATAAACAGAAGGTGTAGATAGAGTTCATTCATCACAAAGAAAATTCTATAATCGAAGCGGAGAATTGTCCTTACGAGGATAGAGAATCCAGCTCATTGGAAGTTATGTACCATAATGGTGGAGAGCCACGCCCCTTTTTCTCCTATAATTGACCAGAACAAGCAGATTTTAGATAGGGGAATATACACTGGTACTTATTCTGTTCCAGTAAAACCACTGATTAGTGATATTCTTTTTTACAAGTCCACACCTTGGGTATTACTGCTGGCTCGTGTGGTTTCAGCGACCCACCATCAGCTTGCTGTTTAGGGGCTTCTGGAAGCAAACTGAAAGACTAAAATACGGTTAGTATTGAGTATCTGTACCAGGCAAATGCAGCTGAACTAACAAACCTACAATAGAATAACACTAAACAAAGTTAAGATCCTAACTTCCTGTCCCAATTGGTGTGGTAACTGATTTGGGCAAGTTATATCAGTTATTATATCATCTTAAAATTAATGAGGCACTTTCAAATCAGCCTGCCACTTGAACTAGAATACAAAATTAAAATCAGCTTCAAATTTATGAAGTGTATTGATCTACAATATTAAGCTGAAAGTACAGGATTACCATCTACTATTATCCAAATCTAACATGGTCATTCTCTGAGGCAGATGTGAGGAAACATGGACAGACATGTTCTGCAGTATCTTCTGCTGCCGCAGTGATGCATCTATGAGTTTCTGTAATCAGTGCAACAACCCAACTGATATCAACTAACAAATTGAGAGCAAATACTCAATAGATACAATAGATTCTAGATTACTTTCCAGTTAAAATCTCAATTCAAATAAACAAAACGCTCCACTAAAATGGCTGTTTTTAGTCTTTTGAGTTTCCGAATGAAATTAGAAATTATTTAGTTTTCTATTTGATTTGTTTTATAGAAGCTTTAGGCTTTATTGAGTGGAACTGAAATTTAATTTCATCCCCTGTCGAGCCAAATTGTAATCGATGCCATAGCTTTTCTAGGTTGTAAAATAATTGGAAATATTTAAGTCCCAGAACCGCAAAATTCTATTGTTTTCCTAGATTTTCTTAACGAGGAAATGAAGATATATTGGATAATTAAAATACGGATCAACGAATTTTATAAAAGAATATAACTGCCAGCTTTATCAAATTATAAACCCGAAATTGCAACAAAACAAACCCTAATTAAAGAGAGAGAGTAAATTACTTTGGCTTTGGGAATGGCCTGGATCTCCTCACGCAATCGGTCCTTGATCGCCTGTATTTGCAGCTCCATCGCCTTCATTGCTGCGTCCACTGCCGACAAATCAACGACGCTACTGGCTGGGTACACTGCACGGAAAAACGCAAAAATACAAAACTAAATTCAGACTGAAGAAACACTAAAACAACTTAGTTACAGAAAAGACGAGCTATGCAATTGGATTCCCAGTAGACTCACTGTTTCGGGCGATTACGAGTTCCTGCAGCTCTGCGATTCGCGTATTAAAGGAAGATATCAGAGAATCAAGCGAAGATCCTGCTTTCTTCACATCCATGTCTCCAATTCTCTGTATGTCCTCTCTCTCTCTGTTTATTCTAGGATATCTAGAGGAATTGAGACGGATTAGGAAATTTGAAATAAATTTGAATCTTAAAAAGCATAAATGTGTTTTGGCGGGAAGATTATGGAGCACTTGTGTCAAATGTTAGAAGAGATGTTACCAATAAAGAACAATCTGGCTGGGCCAGGCCGAAGGCCTACAACTTTAATGGGATGATAGGCCCTAAACGAACCCCGCTGAAGTAATGTTGGGCAAAGGCCTAATACCGATTACGAACGCATCTGATGGGCCACGATGGGGCTCACAGAACCCACTAAAGTTGATTTGAAATTAGACCCAATACGGGCTTCGGGCTAGGCATACATTAAGCGTAAGAGCCCAAAGGTTTGACTTAATTAAAGTTTATTAAAGTATAATGAAACATTCTATACGGTCATCTGTTGTATTTGTACTCCCATTAAAGATGGATGTTGAAGCATATCTAGCATGGCTGTCTGGTGGGAACTAGTTGTACAACAATGAATTCAAGCTTTTGATATCATCGGGAAGTGCCGATTTCATGAGTTGTTGTCGCCTTCGTTAAGGATTTAAATGTGGGATGTTTGTGATTTTTCTAAGTGTTACTTTATTGGGATTAGTTGAATTATACGTATAGTTTATTTGCTTTGGAGACACTCTTGAAATCTATGCATTTTCTGTCTCTTGTTAGGTCCGGTTGATTTCACTTGCATTTTCTTCTCTATATATTATATTATTTCTTCCCTTAAAATTCACCTAAGATATTTTATAGATTGAGTTGTGCGTGATCCACTGATAAACTCAAAGGGTAAAATATACAGTTGTGTGAACAGGTAAGGAGTAGAAGCAGGACCAAATTAATATATTTGGTCAATCCAGAGACAAATTCATTTAATGTGCAGTACCATAACATTTAAATCTTGGAGTACAATGTCTTTGGATAAATTTTTGTTACAGAGATTGCCTAGAAGAATTTATCTATATGATGTACACGACGAACAACCATGGGCTAATATTTTCCCAGAAAAAAAAATATTAAACCCTTCTCCATGTGAATGCGTTCATATAATTTAAATCTATGATAGAGCTATAAGGACGTTAATACAGTCAAACTTTAATTTCTTGCTTTCCACAAGCCAATTAAGTTATAGAAAGCCAGAAAAATTCAGTATTAAAGAGATAAATAAATCAATGAAATATCGAAGCAGACTCATTAAATTTTCTATATGAAGAGAAAAAGATCAAGTCCTTGCAGACAAAAAGACCAAATACCATGTGACAGAAGATTTAATTAAGGATCAACTGAAAGTGGGGAAACTGACTTATAACTGCCGCCCTCATTTAAGAAAAACCAACCACCATATCTCACATATATGTCTGCCCATCCATAGATATATATCTTTCATTTACAACCACAACAAGACTTATTATATATTTTTCACATGCACTATAGCTAGAACTCTTCCCACAGATTGAATGAATATTGGCATGAGTATTATCACATCAATGGTATGGCAAGAACAATATATCTATACGATTCAATTCTGAAATGAGAAGAAGGAAAATCAAACCACGTGCATGCACACGTAGCCACGTACGCATGAAACTCTTACATGGATACTTTCTGTCTCCTACTTGGGGCATGCATGTATGGTGAATAAGAAGATCATTTGCATCAAGTTTCTTGTACATGAATAGTTTGATAAGTAGAATTGAATTCTATGATCAATTAATTCTAATTTTCCTACATAACCTAACCTCCGCCAACTGCTACATCAAACTAAATAAAAGTTGCCAGTTATGGTGTGAATACTGTAAGTTGCCTGTCTTTTTATGGTATTGACTTATACAAAGGGACGATATCATGCATATAATTTCTGGTACTTTTCCACCTGGAAGAACCATTAATGTTGAATTACTTAAATACGTATATGTCTATGAGTCCTATACATTTAGCCTTCTAATATAGACACGAATCAAGTATATATCTAGCTAGTTTCGTGTAATCAAACATTATATGATTGCCGGATCCTAAACCAGCATGAAATTATTAAATTACACGTCTGCATTTCACTCCAAGAGTCTTTATCAGATATTAATAACATAATTAATGACATAATCTTGATGGGGATAATGATCATTTCATAATGTAAGGAAGAAAAGGAGGAAATTGAGATCAGATAGAAAAATTAATGCCAGAATTAGTCAACAAGGTAAGAAAATATTCCATTAAGCTGAGGAGCAGTATATATGATGTACATAGAACAGGAAATAAAAAGGCTTCGTAACGATCATAAGCCTATGTTATATAGTCATATATTTAACGTACGTGTTATGCCTTTGCCGGCAAAGGTTAACATTTTGGCCCTAGGATATTGAGGCTCGCATTACTAGCTAGCTACTAGATTTCTACACCGGTTTACACGATGAAGTCAAAATAGATACCCTCAAGTCTTAAACAAAAAAAAAAAAAAAAACAATAGAACATATAGTTCTATTCAGTTAATTATGAGAAGGAGGATGTGTCTTTGGAGGTGAGTAGTCCGAGTTAAAACCAGGGTTTTTTTCGGGACGTTTACCGTGAGGCACACGCCAAGAAACGGAACCTAGAGACTCAGTTTTAGCAGCACCTGATGTTTTTCCTGTTCCATCATTTGATATCTTCGACTCGGCATCTCTTGTGTCTTTGGACTTCTGACTTTTCTCACCCGAACCATGGTCTTCGATTCTGTCTCCTCTTGTTGTCAACAATGAATCTGCCTTCGGTACAACTGGTACAGTGTCCAGACCCTTCTTCTCATCATTCTGCAAAATTAGCCACAAAAGGTTAAAAAGGGTTTAACACAAAATAAGAAGGATAATCTACAACAAAGAAGAGTACTGGTATCTGGAAACAGTAATATAGTGGCCGTGCGATGATGTTAGTGATAAATAATAACAATAATAAACGTGTAACTTGGAAACTGAACTGACCTTATTAGTAGTGTGAAGTTTCTTTTCAAGAGTGTCACCAAGACGCCGAGCATTGCATGCATGCAAAGAAAGGCACAGAAGGAAAACAAGAAAACAATACGAGATCGACATATTAAGAGACAGGAGCCAAACGATACAAGATAGGAAGGGGTGGTGTTGGAAAGTGTTGGAGTTATAGTAGTGATGGTGGTAATATTTATAGTGCGAACATTAAATGCAGGTTAACCCAAGAGATTTAAGAGGTTCTATTGTAGAACATGCATATGTATGGGTGAGGAGAAGTAAGAAAGGAAGATGAAGATATGGCTGCCCTCCCTTTTTGTCTCTTCTCTTTCACAATTCAAATCAATTGGGTCCCAAGAAACAGACTCCCCACCAGGGAAAGAGAAGCAACATAAAGCCTTCTTGCAGATATATGGAGAGTGGAAGAGAGAGAGAGAGAGAGATTTTTCTTTGAAATAATATTATAAAAAACTAATAAACAACGAAAAAGTAAAGAGAGTAGGACCATATACGTGAAATAAACCAGGCCAACATATTATAGAAATGCTTAATTTATTCAAAGTTTTACTTGGTTTTGTAACTTGTCTCCTTGTTACTAGCCCTTTGCCATTCTTTTTACATTGAAAAATATCATTATATGAATTGTTTAATGAGTTTTTTTGTACTTAAAAAGTCGGAGGCCTTTTAAGGTATAAGAAGACACAAAACATCCTTCATAAATTCATAAAATACGTTATACTGTTATGACCAATATGCCCCTTCGTCCTATTATAAGCTGGTGGAAAAAAGCCACTGAAATGATTTATTTATTTGTGCAAATATCGAATGGTAAAAGCAAAGTGTAAATGAAATAGGGAAAAGCATATGTGAATTGTACATGGCATGGTAGGTGAGTGGGGTCAAACACACATACACGCGTGGGGTCTACAAGAGAGAGACCTGATTGAGGATTGAGGATTGAGGAGACAAGGTTGCATGGAAAAACCCCTCTTTGTTAATGTTACGCGAAACACAAAAAGACTGACCGAACCGTCATTACCGCCACAAATAACACGTGGCATTCACCCATGTGACTCATTGAATCGCCACGTAGACTTCGGCTCAAACATGGGCCGCCGTAACCCATGTCTTTGGTCCTATAATGGTGGTCCTGGTCCATTAACCACCATTCTTGAGATTCCATAGCATCACGATGAGGATGTCCTCATTCTACCAATACTCTCTCTTTGGTATTTTTCGGTTGGTAACATGCATCTGTAAGTATCGATGGTTTCATGACTTGGTGAGCTTAGTGTAAGAGCGACGGCGCGACAGGCTCGGCTGCCAAGGTGGCTGGGGATTCGGGCTTGGCGTTGACAATCGGCTCGACTCGGTGTGTCCTGTTAAAGTCAAGCATTCTTGGTCGACTCGGCTTCGTTGTCCCCACGGCAATTCTCGCTTAATCTGCGCGTCATCGACTTATGTTTATGAGTATATCTACTGTTCCTGATTCTGACAATGAGAATTTGTCCTAATTATTTATCCAAGTGGAGACTTTTAGGTTTTTTTGCTTCCATGTAGTATAGGAATTATTTGCTAGCTTCACTAGCAGCCCTTGGATCATGATCCAAGGGATTATGGTCCACCTTGGACCATGATCCAATGGCTGCAAAAGGCGCAAATACTACCCCCTTAATTATTTATCTTATAAGCACGAGAAACATTAGTGTCACTATTGTACTGCTTAGACCATTAATATTGGATAACATGTCCAATAAATTAATTATTTAGGGGTAAAATGGTATTTCTATCCTAAAAATTAATTTATGAGATTTCAAAAGTCATTTATCACGTTGAGTTAATTATTATTTGATAGAGATGTGAGGGTATTTATATTCGAAATGTTTATTAGAGTATTTCCAATTGTGCTATTTATTTTAAAGAGTATATTTTATATAAATAAAAAATATTTTCATTAATTTTTAAATATAAATAACAAAATTTTTATTCAAATCTAATAGACTTTTTAAATTTTAAGAGAGTGAATATATTTTTTCAAGAAAAAAACTTAATATGAGAGATAAATCATAAATAAAATGCATGGAAACTTGTAATTTATTATTTAAAATTAAGATAGAGAATAAAATTTGATTCTCTAAATATAGAGAGTCAAACTCATTCTTTAATTTATATTTAAAGAATAAAGAGTCTGTTGGACTCTTGTTTCTATAAATAAACTCTTTATAATAAAGAGTTTACGTCATATAAAAAGTCATTTAGAGATACTCTTAAATAAAAGTAAAATAGGAACAAAATTTGGATTACCTTTGAGTTAGTAATTTGATTACCTTATATATTAACTACGATAATTATTATTGATATTTGAAGATTACTAAAATCTTTTATTACTTGATAACCTAACACATCCAAAATATCAAAGGACAAAGACCGCGAGAGTAATCTTCCTAAACCCCTGACCAAGCGCAACCTAAGTGTTAAATTGCATGCCAGGCCACTGCACAACTCCAATGAAAGATAAAGCCCCTTTTCTTTTTTCCTTCTGTTGATTAGTAGACTTCAAGCGGAGAATCAGCTCGTTTATACATTTGTGTTCTTACAAGGAAACACTCCCAGGAAATGGAACCCAATAACGCAAGCTACAAACTCACCCCGAAAGATCCCAGAAAATTAACTAATTTTGAAAGTTGGAAAGATTTTTCAAATGGCATATTTCAAAAGGGGATCCTCGCGCCTATGAGCAGCTATGAAAGGGACTCAGATTTAATAAAGATAAAGGCCTTCTTTTTTCTTTTCAATTTAAATTTAACATTATGATTATATTCCTAAATTATGTTTTAAATTAAAACTTATCGAAAAACCATATCCTAATTCAAAACCAAGTGGGTAATAAATTATTCATCAATATGATACCACGTAGTTTGTACACATAAAGCCAGCTATATACAAAGTGTACTGGTGGGGAAAGGTGACGGAATATTATAACTGGAAGGAAATGCAGGAAATAAATACAGGATGAGGAAAAGCACAGATAACAGAATAAAGCACTGGGGCTATGGCAGCATCTATGACCCAAATGTGTTTTCTCCACTGTATGTAACATACAGAAATCCATCTTCATCCTTCTTTTCATCATAAATGGTAGACATTACTGATCCTGCAAACATCAAACGTATTTAGATCCCTCCACACTTGAAAATATCGGTCTTTTTAAATTTCACAACTTTCAAATTGCCATATTTTTTCAAGCACAGACAACCAGAATAATGAGAGGAGAGGGGAATGGGAGACAGCTTTAAACCTGTAGGTGGGAGGACATTGTCCACAAATATGAAGATTGCCTTTTCTGCACTCAGTTTAATTCTCTTCCGTATCACATAAACAAACTGACCGACTGTCAGGTCAGCCGGCACTAAATATCTGCAAAATGGTAACGGCGTTAATACATACTCCTTTCAAGCATATATAAAAATAAATAAATAAATAAACATTGAATAAGCTCTAGTAATACAGTCTGTAAAAATATCTTAAGTCCTTAATGTCCAAATTTGGTATTAGGCCCTTAAAATGGAAAAGCACTATAATGAACTTTTTGCATAACAGTAACAAAAAAGTACAGAAAAGCTTATGCAGCACAAAATTGACACTTACTTTTTCTTGTCAATGGAGGGAATATCACTTCTCTCAGCCTTCTCTACAATCACCTATAAAGCACATGAAAAACATTGACAGAAGTAAGATAGTGATGATACAGAGGAAACTAATGCTTTTATCCACAAAACCAGAGCTTATCCAATTGGCAGATAATAAACCTGTGCACGCATTGTCTAATTAATTATCTGCATGAGTGATCAAATATTGTAACCACAAGCTTTTGCCAAACTAGCATACAGAAAGCTTCAATTGATGCTTTGTTTGCAGACGGGAGTTCGAACTTTTAAGTCTTGTTCAGTTTCAATTTACAAGATGAAGAACAGGGGAAAAAACCAATTTTCTGTCTAGTTAACTCAAAATTATGTTCGGTACTCCAGCTACACTCACCAACCAAGCAAACTCAATATATTACAAGAACCAAAAGGGAAATTCAAATTCCATCGATGTGGATTCCTCTCTTAACAATATGATCCCTTTCTAAACACAAGCAGAAGTTATGAAATGTACCACACAGAAAAATACAAGTTACAAGCATATCACTTCCTCAGCAGCATCAACAAGTTCAAAACACTTTCCAGTAAACCCTCAGAATTCCAAGAGACATATTCCCAAAATCCCAACACCACCTTATAACACAAGCAAGAGATTAAGGAGACGGTATGAGACGTTCATAGTACAGGGTCATACAATATTCATATTTTGGCTTAAAGAACAATAGATGTAGAAATTATTAAACCCTTCTCACAATTACATAAAATAGCAATAAAATGTTAAAATTATCTGAAAACGCCAGATTTCAAACAGTAAAAGGAGTTCATAAAACCATCATGCCGTGGTAATTTACACATCAATGGAAATAAACTTTTTAGATTATCATAGGAGCACACTCAATTTCTCAAAAGAAAAAATGATCAGTAATGTTTAGTAACAACCCCATTGGCACCATGTTCTAGTGGTTTAAACAAAACTCGATTATATATTCTTCAAACAAAAGAGAAAAGGTACAATAGGGTTGGACTACCTCAGAGAACAATTCCAGTATATTCCTATTTTTCCGCAAAAATTGATTGAAACTATTCCTTGAAATGCAAATTATTCAATTGGATGAAGTGATAGATGTATAACGTTGCAATGATGCAGATTAAATAATCCAAACACATCAAACTCATCACATAAAACACAAAACTACCACTTAAGCCTACAAAGGAAATTACCAGATATTAACGAATAGCTGCAATTTAGTACAATGACAATTAACATATCAACATAGGATTGCATTAATATATCAGTGAGACAAAATATGAAAAATAAAAGCTAAAACTCAGTTCTCACAGGAATTCTATCCGGATATTTCTCTCTAATTCTCTCAGCCTCGGCACGCCTCTTTTCTGCAGACACAATTCGTATTAGTTACACAAGCGATCAAAAATAATTAACCAATCAATTACAAGATTCTTGAAAAGAAAATAATCATCAAAGACTTACGAAAATCATGCTCTATCTTGAAGGAACTTTTAGTCATCTTTGCCAATTGAACTGCAGAACAACGATGTAAACTATCTTAATAAAAAGCAACAAAGTTTCAATCAACAACAAAACCGAGCAAAATGATGTCAAATCACATCAAGCTAAAAAATAACGAAACCCTAAATCAAAATCTGAAAGGGAATAACAAAAAGAATCCAGAGCAATTACCAAACGCGCTGTTTGTCGCTGATAAAATTAAATAATTGATAATTCAATTTATAGAAACTGAAAGACCAAACCCGATTCTCGAATCAGCTAACCAATTATCTTCGTTCTGCAACCAAGCAGACGAATAAATAGAAAATTTAAGAAAAGGCTTATAAAAAGATGAAATTTTAAAGAGACAATGGATGAAAAGCAATGATATATAGCTTTGTCTTGCAGTTGCAGATAAAATTTAGATAAAAGTTAAAACCCCGGTTTTTTAAATTTAGTGCAGGTGACGTGTTACTCATATAATCCATATTTTAGAGTCATTATTAATATTCTAAATTATTCCATAATATTAGTATTATTAAGATTTGAATAAACTAATATTAGGTATTGAAATGAGTTATTTTTTTTCTAAATAAAATATATTGCAGAGGAGGTTCAGCCGTTGACAACGAGGCCAGCTGCTGCCAGAAATGATCTTTCTTGATACAACCGTCTCTTTAATTCTACAACCTAATTCTATGTTAGTACTGACCTCACATGCCTATTTCCTCATTGGATAATAATTTCGTAAGATTAGTTGGCTTGGATGAAAAGAAAACTAAACGGGTTTAAATTGAAACAGTATAAATGATAGTGAAATCCACCATGGCTGAAGGCATCAAGCTTTAGCTGCATGCTTCTCTTAATGGATTGTATGAGACTGTTTTGGGCCAGAGCCCAGTAAACGCAGATCTGTGCAAGGCCCAATTTTGCATGTTGGCAGGCCCTCGAGACATTAAGCGAAGAAACTCAACTTGTTTACAAATTGTAAGATTTCAAGTATATAAGTGAAGGAAACTCGAGCCGGTACTAAACTCCGTTCTGAGGTAATCCATTGGGCTTTGTTCAGCCCAATTGAAAGTTGTGACAAAAATCATAGTGAAAGACGGAAGCAAAGGGATCTATCTGCTATTGAAATTCAAAGGTTACATTACATCCATTTTAATGGAAAGAAAGCACAACAAATTTCATCGTCATTCATCCATTCTCTGATTTCATGCTTTCATTTCCTTCATACAAGTGAAAATAACAGGCTAAAAATTGGAGCGACAAAGATTAAATTAAATTAAATTTTCAGCGCCCTTCACTCCTTCGGAAAATCGAAAGACAGATTACAAAAATGTATAGTATTCAATATTAGAAACAATGAACAGTAAGCAAAGGAGGTGTGCTTTAATTAAATTAATATCTCAGTTGGCAAATATTGTTTAGATTTTAGCTTTTTTTTTTAAGTTTTTTTAGTATTTTGCTCAAAATCTTTAAAATATTTTATTTTAATCTTTTTTTTTTTTAGTATTTGTGATTTCAGGTGAAGGATTTGTGTTATTTAAGAATTGTTTAAATTTTTATTAGTTATTTTACCTTTTTATTTAAAAATGAGTTGCTACTAAAATTTAGGGTACATTAGTCAAGTTAAAAATATAATTAGGATAATTCATAATTCTATTTTGTCAAAGTCAGTCAACACTCTTATTTATTAGGATCTACATAATAGTTTCTATAGTTTTTGGGATATAAGTTATTTTCACAAGTTTTTGGGGGTGTAAATATATTAATCCTTAATAATATAAAACCTTAGGTAAAATATACTCTCTTACCCTTGATTTTGTTAATTTATATGAGGAGTAAGATTGATTATGCTGCTTGTCTATGTGTAATATGTTTATTTTTCTGTAAATTTCCTCCTATTGTGGAGGTTTATCAAAAAAATTTAAAATTCAATAAATTTCCTCCTATATGAGCAGAATATAAATCTAAGATCAATGATGATAATAATAATAAAAAATCATTATTATTTTATTTTTATTTTTATATTAACTCAATGTCAATCCCGGCTCCAAAACAGGAGGCTGGGACATTGTGTTAATGGGCTTCATGGTCAGTGACTGTGACGTTAGTTTGGCATTTTAAGTCAAAATTTTCTTTTTCTGATTTTCTTTACCTATGATTATATAAGTTTTAATTAAAATTGTCTGGAGATATTAATCTCTTAGTCATGAAGATTAATTTGATCATGCTTAGATTAAATATCTTAACTCTTTCCTATATTTTCAACCACCAAATAAACTAAATATTTAAAGCAAGAAACTTGTTTTTATTTTATTACTTGAAATTGAATCGCATTATAACACCAAAATTTTGTCTAATAAACAATATATTTTCATTTTTTTAAGTTTGTGAGTGCATATAGAACTTCAACAAAGTTACGGACATCGATTATTTTGCATCGAAAATGTGTACTGACCTACGTGTACCTCTGACTCACACCAGCAGTCCAAACGCCTAATTTTTCTAGTGAATGATCGTCCATCAAATATAGACGGCCGTTCACTTACATGGACTCCCGTCTATATTATATGGACGGGGGTCCATTTACTACAGACGGGTGTCCACATTTAAAGGACGTCCATCCATAATTATAATGGAATAAAATTTTTTTATAAAAATTAAGGAAAGTCGTTCATTCGTTATGGACAACCGTCCCTTCATTTTGGACGAGCGCCAGCAAATAAGGGACGTCCGTCCTTAACCAAAATATGAAAATAAAAAATAAAATAAAATAAAAACTTTGGGGACAGCCGTCCATACTTAAAAAAAAAAAAAAAAAAAAAAATTATAAACAAAACTCTTCTTCTTCTTCGTCTTCATTCCCCATCTCCTCTCTTTCTCTTCGTCTTCATTCCCCATCTCCTCTCTTCTTCTTCGTCTTTGTTTTATGAGATAGGCGTGTCAAATCCAAAGGCTCCAAAGAGAGGAGATGGGGAATGAAGACGAAGAAAAAGAGAGGAGATGGGGAATGAAGATGAAGAAGAGCGAAGAAGAAGAGTTTTGTTTATAATTTTTTTTTTTTTTAAATATGGACGGGCCTCCATTCCCAAACGTAAGGGACGGCCGTCCAAAATTTATGGACGGCCGTCCCCAAAGTCTTTTATTTTTTTTATATATTTTGGTTAAGGACGAGCGTCCCTTATTTGCGGGCGCCCGTCCAAAATGAAGGAACGGTCGTATCTAATTTTTATAAAAAAAAATTATTCCATTTTACTTATGGACGAGCGTCCTTTAAATGGGAAAGCCCGTCCGTAGTAAATGGACCCCCTTCCATATAATATGGATAGGAGTCCATGTAAGTAAACGGTCGTCCATATTTGATGGATGGATGACCGTTCACTAGAAAAATATTTACAGAAAAATCAAGCGTCTGGACTGCTAGTGTAAGTCAAGGGTACAAGTAGGCCGGTACACATTTTTGATGTAAAATAATATGTGGTCGTAGCTTTGTTGATAGAACTTATAGTAAAATAACACGATGAATGAAGTGAATAATATTGTCATGCATGTTTCTGTATATATATTAATTATATCATATGATATAAATATTTGCTATAAATCTACCATTTGATGATGAATAATTATTTTAAAAAAATTCAGTACTGTCTTTTAATTCCACATTATCAAGTATTGTATAATAATTAAAACTAATTTCTTTAAAATATATATATAATTTTGTGGATCTCCTAACTGTAGGTCCTTGTTAGAGGGGGAAATTGAGAATCCAATTCTCTATCTGAGCCCAACAGTTAGAGCCCAGAACAAATCTACAATGCAAGGCTCAAATTTCAACTCTAATCAAGGTCCAGCCCACATTATAAATTCCTAAATTCTTATGTCCATCGAGAAAATTTATAATATCACAAAAGCGTCGAATCAATATTATCATAAACGTATGCATATATGTTTTACAAATATTCAATTTAGCAATCATTTATCAAATTAATTATGAAAAATATATGTTTCTCTTAAAGTAATAATATTATAAAGTAAATATTTCAACTTCATATCATAAATATCCTTATAATTAATATGATAAAATTGATGCGATGATATGATACATTTCTATATAAATGTCATGGATATATGGTTTCCCCGTACTCTTAATATGGTAGTATCTAGCCTCTCCACAAGCTATTTATCTTCTCACATATCTTCTTGCTCTTTTGGAGAAGCCATTTATATGTCTCCCTAATTTCGGTGGCATAAAGATAAACAACAAAAGAAGAACCAAATGTCCATAAAATGAAAAGGGTATACGCAAACCAGTGCAGGACAATAATGCACGCTAAAGAAACCAAAGAAAGAGACCCTGCTATAAAACCACTAACGCTTAAGAATTGAGATTGCTAGAAGTTTGTAAAAGCTCCTACAAATGCAAAGCCAAATATGATTGTGGCACATATAAAAACATATATATTTGCTGGATAGGTTTCCAATAGAGACTTGGTTGTTGGGCCTTGGACACTCATTTGAACAGCAGTAACGAGAGTTGGAATGAGAAATATGAAGGCCGCATTGCACTCCTTCAAGGAGATGGGGATGGATTCTTGCTCACTGTAAAACCATAAAAAAACATATAGGTTTCAAAGAATATAACGTCATATGATGTTTTAAAGAGAATTACTTTTTGACTTCTAATCTATTGTGAAAGATCATTTGTTTCCCGGGAGAACGACTTATAAATACGCAATATTTGTTGAAATAATAAGTTGGTATCCAAAAGGTTTTGAAACGATAAATGGGTACCTTCCGTCATATTCTGTTAGTGATTTTCGTTAGATAATAGTGAAAAGACTAAAATGCCCTTGAAAGTTTAATTTTTAGTTTTTTATAAATTTAAAAATTTCTAAAAAACCCCCATAAGTTTGCTAATTTGCTAAATACCCCAATATATAAAAATTTTATAAAATAACAAATACACCCCGCCACCCACAGTGCCAGATTCCGGCCACCACCGCCAAAATCTGGCCGAAAAATTGTGTTACGACACAGACCCGTCGGATCTGTGTCGTAACACACCGATCTGGCCTTTTCCGGCCAGATCTACTCTGGCCTTTTTCGGCCTCGACGGCCAGATCTGGCCTTTTCCGGCCAGATCCTCCACGGATCTTGCCGGAAAATGCCAGATCGACGTGTTACGACACAGATCCGATGGGTCTGTGTCGTAACACAATTTTCCGGCAAGTTTCCGGTCTCGACGGCCAGATCTGGCCGTAGATCTGACATTTTCCAACCAGATCAGCCACAAATCTTGCCGGAAAATGAAAGATCTACGCGTTACGACACAGATCCGATGGGTCTGTGTCGTAACACAATTTTCCGGCAAGTTTCCGGTCTCGACGGCCAGATATGGCCGTAGATCTGGCCTTT